AGCTCAATCAGCACCTTCTCTCAGAAGCCTTCCCTGACTGCCCATTACCTCCTGGCTGGGTCAGAGCCCCCTCCTCTGAGTCTTTCTCTCAGCACTCTATTGTCTCTTTCCCCAGGAGACTGTGTGCCCCTGTGATGGGAGAAGGTCCCTCGCTCAACCCCTTCCACAGGAGTGGCACATAGCAGGAACACAATTCATGCCGTGCTAGGTTGCTTCAGCCACCACTGAACTGCCCAGCACACAGCCTGGCTTAGCTAGATACACAACCACTTTCCTATTTCTTAAAGTGCATTTTATTTCTTGCATAAACATTACCTCAGAAATGTGTCGACGCCCACAAACAAATTTTTGCCAAATTTCAGCATCTCTTTTCAGTTTTATCCCCCAGTTGCAATTGTTTGCATCATTGTGATTCCAACTTTAAGCACAATTTTGAGATCTTAGATCTGTGTTTTCACCTAACTGTAAAACACAATATTTCCCAATTAAAAAAAAAGTTCAGAAATAGTCTATTGAGTTGATATAACAACTGACTCCTCTAATTTGGGACCTGTGGCTTTTCTAATGTGATGATGTTTATTCTATCCCTATTTAAAGAACAAATATTTAAAATAAGTGTCCATCTGCTGTCAAATATTTGGTGAAATGTATACACTCTCATGATAGGGTAAATAGAAAGATCCGGTTTGGTAAAAAATGTTGCAATGTGTTTCTTGGGGTTGTAAAATGTTCCAAGGCATAGAGTTCATAATTCTGATCCTGAGATGTTATCCTGAAGGAGGGAGCAAACATTGGAAAGATCCAGTATTTATTTAACCAGATTAAACCTTCAAAAGAGCCTGCGCTAGATTTTGGCACTCTAGTTTCTGGATGACTCAGGGTCCACTCAGGTTTTGCCTTCTTTCTTGCCATATATTCCTTTACGGAGGACATCCCCTCACCCCGTCAAAGTGTCCTCCTCTTCCCTGAAGCCTCCTTCATGGGGTGCCACCACCTCCAGGAAACCCTTGCCTCTCTTTGAGGTCTGGGTCAAGTGGGTGAGGAGTTGGCCCAGGTGATGCCAGGCTCACAGCGGGAGAATGCTCCCTTATTTCTCCACCTGTCCCCTTTCCCCTCATTGGCCTCACCAGTCACCCGTGAAGCCAAATGGCCTTGGCCCCACCCACCCTATGTCCTGGCCTCACTTACCTACGATCCATGCATTTGGCCCATAGCCCATCACTTCTGGCCTCAATTACCAGGTATCTGGCCCTAGTTAACAGAAAATAGTGACACGTCTTCTATACCCTTCACCCCAATCCTGGGTTGCTAGAATTTTCCTGTTCACCCACCCACTCAGCTGTCTTGGAGAAGGTGTCTGACTCTGTACAGCCAAGAAGAGGTTCATTCATTCACTCATTCATTTATTCATTCAACATTAGTTAGTACCTGAACTGCATCTTGTCCTTCTCTGGGCACTGGGGCTACTGAGAAGAGGAAGGTACCTGCCCTCAAGGATCTCACAGGCTCGTGGGGCAGAGAGATGAATAAGAAAGGTGAAAACCATGATAATGAGAGCCGACACTCTCCGAGTGCTCTCTTGGTATTGAACAGTAATGACAAGAGAGCTTGGTTAGACCCACAAGTCAGGAAGCACAGTGTCTTTTTTGGGGAAACATTGAGGAGTGGCCCCCCACTTAGCTGTGGAGTGACTCTGATGAGCATAGTCTTACAGCTGACGAGGATTTAGCCAGCTGGAGCGGGAAAAGGAAAAGTGTCCCCGGTGGATGGAACGGCATGGACAAAGGCTTGCCATTGACTCAAGTCAGTTACTGCCTAAAGAAGCCCTGAATTTTGAAACCTCCTTGTGTATTTTTTGTGGGAGGTGAGATTGTCACAAAATGTAGTCAGAAGGGAAAATTCTCACCCTTCTTCCTTGGCTAGTGGGGGGAGCACCTGCTCTGGAGGAGGATGACTTTGGATTAAATCCAGCTTTGTCTCTGACCAGCTACGTGGCCTTGGGCAAGTCACTTCACTTCTCTGAGCCTCAGTTGCCACACCATCCCCCAAGAACCATTCACTGTATCACTCATTAAAAATCAGAATTCAATGAGATAATGTGTATAAAGATTTAATACAGGCTTTTTCAACACTACTGACATTTTGGCCTGGATGATTCTTTCTTGTGAGGAGCTGTCCTGTGAGTTGTAGGATGGTTAGCAGTATCCCTGGCCTCTACCCATGAGATGCCATAGTACTTCTTGCCCAATTTATGACAACTAAAATATCTCCAGACATTGCCAAATGTCCCCCTGGAGACAAAGGTGTTAGGTTGAAAAACACCGGTCTAATACAGTGCTTGGCATGTAGTAGTAGCACAGTAAATGTTTATTCTCTCTTTCCCCTTTAAGTCTGGAGGGAGCATTGACTCCTGTCCTCTGGGAGCGAGAAGGGCCTTCAGGGGTCACTGTGCAAATAGGGAAACAGGACTTAGAGAGGGGAAGTTAGCAGCCTGCTGTCACAAGGCATGTCATTGGCAGAATGAATTAGGTAGACTAGAGACAAAACAGCCTTAATAAGAAGACCCCAAGACACAATGATTTAAATAAGCTAGTTCATTCCTTTCTGCCAGAGAGCCCAGATAGGAGTGGTCAGGGGCTGCTGGAGCAGCTCTGCCATTCTCAATGCATGGCTTCTACCTCTGGGTTTCAGGCATTTGTTCCACTTGTTCCTACTTCTAATTAGAGAGAAAGGAAGGAGAAGGTCAGCAGGAAGTAGAGGGAATCCCCTTTATTTTAAAGTACAAAATTTAATTTGCAGCATTACTTCTGCTTATTTGCCATTGGCCAGATCTTAGTCACATGGTCACACTTACTGCAAGGGAGTCTAGGAAATGTAGTCTCTGGCTGGGAGCCACATGCCCAGGTGAAACCTGGGGCAAAAAGTGGAGAATGATCACTGGGGGACAGTCTTGCCACAAAGACCAGGTGAAAACCCAAGATTTCCTAGGACCACTGTTCTCTCTATTACAGCAGGGTTTTTTCAGTCAATCAACAAACATGAGGGTGGTGGTTGTAAAAGTAATTTCAGCATGTGGAGGCGGACTTTCATCCTGTGCTCACTAGGTGTCATGCCCTGGTTAAACACTTTCCACTCACTGGCTCCTTTAATCCTCACAACAGCCTAAAGAGGGAGGCTTTACTGTTAATATTAGTTGACAGGTGAGAAAACTGAGCTTATGAGAGGTTAAATAACTTGCTCAAGATTTCAGGGCTAGAAAGTGGCAGGGGCTGACTGGAGCTCAGATATGCTCAACTCCTTGGCGCTGTACCCAGCAGCCCCCTGGCATAACCTGAATTGAGATCCTTACAAGAGAGCTCAGGAAAGCTGGTTCAAGGCCCCTCCAAGTCACCCCAAAGGGTGCCCTGAAGTGATTTGACTCCATGAGGCAGCCTTCTTCAGCAGGGAGCCCCTTGGGTAAAATGGTAGCTGGGTGCAGGCCTCTGTGTGGCCTTGGTCTCTCTGAAGCTGAGTTTCCTGTGGAGACAATAGCAATTGTGCAGAGTAGTGAGATGACTGCTTGGCAAAACGGGCAAAAATTCTTCGGGCTTTTAGGCAGAAAAGTCAGATGCCCTCTTGGAAAAGGGAGGCTGCTGGGATCTGGAGGCAATGGCAAACATTAGCCTGCGGCCCGTGTTGCATTTCTGCAGAGGCGAACATGACTTTGGGAAGGGGTGGTATCCTCTTTCCTCTAAGGCAAAGGGGAAACTGAGGGCCTGCATCTAGGGGAGGAAGAACAGCCTCAAGAGGACCTCATCTGTCCTGGGAAGAAATCATGGCCTGCTGGGATCTGGGGAGAGGCAGCTAAAGCACCTGGGAGCTAGAATGTCACCTCTTTGAGCAACGGATCTCATAGCTGTGGGTTCAAATCCTGGCTCTGCCACTTGCTCACTGTGTGACCTTGATGAGTCACTTTGCCTCCATGAGCCTCAGTTTCCTCACCTGTTAAATGGGGACAAGAATGGTATCTCCTGGTATAGGGGTGTTGTGAAGAATTAATGAGTTCATGTGCGCCAGCAAAGGTAGCCCTCCACTTTAGTGGTGGTCTTAGCATAAGCAGAGTGATGCTGTCTTGACTATGGCCTGGCACAGCCTGGGTTGAGCTAAGTTCTGGGGTGTGGATGGAGGAGCCTTGGATGGAGAGAGGAGCTGGTCTCCGTGAGACATTTGAACACCACCAGGGCCCTTGGTCTCACCAGGCATGCAGGATTTTCATGCAGCCTGGCAGGTGGCACACAGGGTGTCAGGGCTGGTGATGGGGAGAGATGGGTGGGCCCTGGAGGCTGGAGACCATGGTGCTCTCAGGCACTGCTTGAAGGCATCTTAGCTCCAGTGGAACACTAGCTCTCAGAAGGCATGGAAGGGCAGGCTGAGATGTGGCCCATACTCTGCCCCATACTCCTGGGTCCAGACAGATCAGGTGCCCCCTGACCCTCCACAATGCCTCTCAGAGTCCCTGGAGGGGAATGGGGGAAAGCACCAGGTGGGGTTGTCCCCAGAACATGACTTTCCTGTTCCCACTGCCTGCCTGGCTCAGAGTAGGTGCTCACTGTATACCCGGCTGAATATGTGAATGGATGAATCAAGGGTTCTGCCACTGCCAGACTGGCTGTGTGATCTCGGGTCAGTGTTTTGCCCTCTGTGCCTCAGTGTTCCCATTTGTAAAGCAAGAAGGTGGGCTGGGTAGTCACAAATGCCCCTTCCAGCTCTGGATCCAGGTCTCTGCGACCCTAGTTGCACCCCTCTCCCCAAACCCCAAATGGAAGGAATGCAACGGGTCACACAGGAGGATGAAGAAGTGGCCTTTATTGCTGGGAGTGGAGGGTGATGAGCATAGAAACCACTGTTTTGACTGTGAGGAAAAGGAGTAGCTGAGAGGGGTCCTTCTGGTTGGACTCAGGCTTTCGTTCCAGTTGGATGGTAGCAGCATCTTCCCAGAGGGAGATGCTGCATGAGAACACGGTCAAGCTACTGGGAATTAATCTGGAATGAGAACACAGCAGGTTAGGCCATTGATAGCAAATGGGGCCCTTATGGGCACCTGTTACTCACCAGACCCTGCAGCTCAAGCTCTTTTCCACAATGCCCTGTAGGGTCTAAGGCATTGGAGAAGGGACTGGCACCTGTGGTTTGGGGTCTTTCTCTGGCACCCGGCACTGAACTATCCTTATCCCCTCACTCTCCCCATCCCTCACCTTCGGAACAATGGCACATGTAAAAAGACTGATCAGAAGCCAAGACTGGAGCTAGGATTCAGGGCTCAGTATATGGTCAGGATCATGGATCAGTCTGAGATCAAAGTCAAGGCTCAATCTATGGCTAATGTCAGGGCTCAGTCAATAACTGAGGTCAAAATTCAGTCTGTGACTAGGATCTGGGCTCAGAGTATATATGTGATTAAGGCTCAGGGTTCAGAGCATAACCAGGATCAAGGCTCAGCCTGGGACTAGGGTCAGGGCTCAGCCTAAGACTGAGATCAGGACTCAGTCTGCTTCTAGAAAAACAAGCGAATCCAAGCTTGGCTTTGGCTTCGCAGGAGGCCCCTCAGGAGGCGCCTCATCCTCCTTTGCATTGAGTCATAGAGCCTGGCCTCTCACCAGCTAAGGGCATCACAGTGGTCCTCCTCATCTGCCTTCTTCAGATAGCGATTTCAGGGGTGAGTCCCTGCTGAAGTTTCTCTGGAAGAAAAAAAAAATAGCAGGCTTCAGTCTCCACAAAATAGAAGCCAGACCTCAATGGCTACCACTCTCCAGTGGGTCAGTCTGACAGCCGTGGTACCTCAGGCATGTCACTCCACCTCTCTAAGCCTCAGTTTGTTCATCTGTAAAATGGGTACAATGACAGTACCTACACCACTGGTTTTGTTGTGAGTATCTAATGAGGTGGTGCATACAGAGCATAGAGTAATTGCCCAAGGAGCTGGACCTTTGACTATTTCCATAGAAAGTCCACGCGTTCACACACCTCATTTCTATTGCTCCAGCATTCCCAGCAACCTCAGCCATGCCTGAAGACCCGCAGGCCAAAGAAATCCCCCAGTAGCTAGGGAAGCCCCAGCTTCTCATAAGAAGGAAAAGAGAAGAGAAGGTGTTTCTTAGCAATGCCCATTGGTAAGCAAAGCTCTTGATGCTGTTTCTTTTAATCCCCTCATCAACCCCACAATCTTGTTTTACACGGGAGGAAACCAAGGCTCAGAAAGGCAGAGCCACATGACCAAGGCCCCACAGTTGCTAAGTAGTAGAGTCAGGATTTGAACTCAAATCTGGCTCATCTTTCTCACATCATTCTGCCAGGCAGCTTCTATGCGTTTACTGAGGGATGACAGTAGAGAGCTCTCGGAGGCCCACAGAACCCTCTCCATTCTGCAGGAACCCCTCCAGCCACATTCTCCCAACTTGCTCAGGCCATTCCGTCCTTCTGCTTCTCCAGGGTCTCCTGACCAGAACTGCCTGTGGGGCAGGCACAGCACTGCATGCCTCCCCTGGGGAGGCTGCATAGGAAACATCCCCACGTCCCCAGGCTGTGACTTACCAATGACGTTCTGAACAAATTCCACATCCAGGGTGGAGACGAAGATGCGGACCAATGGGCACATCTGAGGGTGGGGAAAATGGAGAGGGAGAGAAAAAAGGACAAATCCATTATCAGCTGGGCACAAACTGCCAGCCACTCATGGAGATGCTCGTCTAGTAGGATCTTAGAACCTTTGACCTTTAGAATTCCAGGACAATGGAAACCTAGAAGTCCAAAATCTGAGAACCATAGGATGCTAGAATCCTGAAACCATAGAACATTAAATCTTAGATTCTTGAGAATTGAGTGTCAACATTCTAGAACTCTACACTCTTAGAAACCTTGAACTTGGAACTCTGGAATTTCAGAGTCAATTAGGTCCTGGGAACTGCAGAGCAGTGTTTCTCACAATTTTGTATGCAATTCCCTGGGGATCTCATTAAAATGCAAATTCCAGTTTAGCAGGTCTGGGGTGGGGCCTGAGAGTATGCATTTTTAACAAGCTTCCAGGTGAGGCAAACACTGCTGGCTAGAGGACCACACACATTGAGTAGCGAGGTTCTACTTCAGTGAAGCACAGAGCCACCTGGAGGATTTTTCTTTCTTAAACACAGATTCCTAGCCCCCAGCCAGGATGACTAATTCAGAATCTCTGGAATTTGGGACACACAGTGTATACAGTTTTGTATGATGCACAAGAATCCTGCACATAGTACATAAGGTTTTGGATGATGTGCAGATGGAAAAACCTGTTATATAGGTCAGGGTGTATTTTTCAAATTAATTATATGATAAGTGATAGAAATTTCTATTTATGGCAGGGATTCAAATTTTCCTTTTCAAAATAAACGTATTTAAATAAATTTCAAGAAGTAAACTTGTGTTGATTAAAGAAAAAATATTAGCTAAAAAACCACATTGGTAGCAAATGCCTAAAGTTTGGGACTCAGTGATTTCAGCTGTCAGGCCTCTGTTCCCCAGCCCTTCACCTTACTACCCCTCCCCACCCCAGCCCCCAGCCCCGCAGACTGAGTAAAGGAAGGCAGGTTCCAGCTGACTGACCAGTGAGAAATTTGCACTGCAGGAGGAAAGAAAGTATAGCCAGGCCTGCATAAGTCACATTGACACCCCCACCAGACCTGGCTCTGGGTGCCCAGGAGTGGAGGAAGACTCACCTGCTTCTCTACCAGGAAGGACACGGTCTTGCTCAGGAAGCTGGTCACAGAGTCCACGACCTTGGTGGTCAGTGCAGCATGGCTGGAAAAGAGAGGGAACTAATACAGCACGGTCAAGTGGGCAGAGCAGCTAAGCAGCAGGGGTGGGAGGGGTGGTAGATGGCAGAGCATCTTGAAGGCAGGTAAACAAACCCCAGAGACTCTGGATGCCTTCATGGGCACAGTGCCTCTATTCATCACTTAGAACCCATGTCTGACCAGCAGCTCATCCCAACACCTCATGAGAGGCTTATCACAACCCCATTCATTCATTAAACAATTATTTACAGAGCAGCAAGTATGTGCCGGGACCAAGCTAGGCAAGGACATGGGGATGGGCAGAGCACAAACAGCTCCTAACCTGGTACCGAAACATTAAACAAGTCTTGCTAAGGCTGGCTTCTTCCCACCTTCAGCTCTTAGCATAACTCACCTCCTCAGGGCAGCCCTCCCTAACCGCTAACCTAAGGGAGGGCTTTATATCATAGTTATCTGTTAAGTGTGCTGCTCTGCCCAGGGCTCATCGCAATCTGACATCTTCCTTGAGGGCTCTTTATTGACGGGCTGCATGCTTGCCTGTCTGCCTTTCCCTGAGGATAATAAGCTCCACAAAAACAGGATCCTTGTCTGTTGTTACCAATAAGTCCTACAGTGCTCAGAACACTATGTCTGGCGCATAGCAAATGTTCAATACATTTTTAGTTGAAAGAATGAATGAAGTAAGCATACAATTCAATATATAATGATAACTTGTGACAAGTACCCTGAAGGGGGAGAGTAGACACTTTCGGGAGGAAGCGAAGGGAACTTGTTTTAGATCCTAAAGGATGAGGGCTTGTGGAGTGGGGAGGGAGGAAAGGTGTTCTAGGTTGCCAGAACACCTGTGCACAGGTCTGGAGGTGGGGAAGAGCTAGTTTGAGGTGCAGAGCAAAGGCCAGTGTGTCTGGAGTAGGGTGAGCAAGGGGACAGTGCAGTGATCTGAGGATGGAGCCAGCTCATGCAGAGCCTACGTAGCAATAGAGAGGGCTTGGGATTCCATTCAAAGTGGAAAGAAAAGCCCTGAGAGGATTTGGAACAGCAGGATGAAATGCATTTTCTAGACACATACACTGAGACCAGAAACAGCATCCTGCAAGGCTCATGCCTCTGAATTTTCACCCCAGTCCGTCCAAACTAACATTAGGCCGTGGAGCCTTTCTTTGGTTTTAGAGAGGTCTTTAGACAACATGTGATCAGATCACTTGTGGGGGTAGGGTGGATTGACTTCTGCTCACGGCCCAGCCTTATTCTCTGCCAAAGCCAGCCTGCCCCAGTCCTCAGCTTCCAGAACATTTCTCCTCTCTCAACCACAATCAGGGTTGCTCTCCCTCCACCTTCTTCCGGGAACTAAAACCTACTCTTTCAATCACACAGTTTAGGATGTAGATTTTGTGGATTAACAGGGATCAATGATTTAAATGGAGAGGATTAAGTTTTCAAGATCCCATTTCAGAAATTCTCCAGTGGATGAAGAACGATTTGGGTATAATCTGAAATTAGAGCCCATGCTGGATATTTACTCCTCTTCCCCGCTCCCAATTGGAAGCAGAAAGGTAAATATAGTTGTTGTTGATGATGGTGGTGGTGATGATGATGATGATGATGATGATGATGATGACTGAGAACATTACATAACAATAAAGGGGTAATTCTTCAAGAAGATATAGCAATCCTAAATATGCATGCACCTAACAACAGAGCTTCGAAAACCAAGAAACAAAATTCTGATAGAGCTGACAGACGAAATAAGCAAATTCATGATTACAGTTGGAAAGGTCAACACTCCTGCCTCAGTAATGGAAAGAACAAGGAGACAGAAAGTCAGCATGGATATTATTACTGAGAGCTTAGTATGTGCCAGGTTCTATGCTGAACACTTGCATTTTCTTATTTGGTCAGCTTAGCAACCTATGAGTAGGTATTCCTGTCACCTTCAGTTTACAGGTGTGAAAGCTGAGGCTCAGAGACGTTAAGTGTGTTACAAAGTTATAAGATAGTGGCAGAGATGATATTTGAACCAAGGTCTGTCTGATTACAGAGCCTAAACTCTTCTTCACCACATGTGCCACCTCCCAGGTATAGGAATAGGGCTGAAATTAGGGGTCCTCAACTCCTCCAAGAGCTCAGCTTTACTGAAATGGATGGCCCTTACCTGCCCTTCAAGGCGATTGAGACGCTGTTTGAGTCACTGCTGCATTCTCCCAGAACCACTTTGGAGACCCCAGTCTGGTCATCGACTTCAATTCCGAGACCAGCCAAGAGGTCCAAGGAAAGCTTCAGGTTGACTATCTGGCGAACGAGAGGCCTGCAGGAAATAAGATTCATGGTGAAGACAGGCCTATAAGGACCTTCACATTACCGACATGGGTTCTTCTACCTGTGTGGACATTATCCAAAATATCTACGGATAATGTCAACATTATCCATATTCTTTATGGGATTAACATATTTACATTAGCGGCGACTTCTCCTGGCTGCATGGGTTTGGTTTATGTGAAACTTTTATATAGCACCACACTAATAATTAAAATTATAAAAATAGTTAACCTTTATCGAGCACAAATTGTCTGTGAGGCAGTTTTAAAAGATATTTTACCTGTATTAACCCATTTAATCATTATAGTAATACCGTGAAAGAGGAGTACTATCATTATCTCTATTTTCAGAACGAGAAAACATTGGTATAGACAGGTTAACTAACTCCCCCGAGGTCTCAGCTAGTGAATGATGGAATAATAATGCACTTAATTTATAAAGATTTCTTTCCACAGGTGCTCATTTTTCTATTTCTCTTTTAAAGTAATTAATATACCTTAAAATTATATTTTTCACACATGCCCTTTATGATATATACTATACACTACTATATGCATTTATCTGTAATGTCACTTATATTTAAACAGAATCTTGAGAGACAAAATAATGCTGGAGAAATTTTGCCAACAAGTTATAGTTGTTCACGTCTTCTTGATTTTTGCAAGTTTTACCCTTAGAAAAATGTTATGATTCCAGAAATATATTTTTAAAAACTCTTTAAAGGTTAGGATTTTAGACTGGAAAGGCCCCCTTGTTTATAGCTTAGGAGACTGAGGCCCAAGGCCACACAGCAGTGTGAAAAAGTGCCTGATTCCAGTTTGGAGATACATCGGCTATGCTGCACTGCCCCCCTCCCACCCCCTCCCACCTCCGCCCCCTTGCAAATCCCAGATTCTAACGCATACTCACAAGGTTAGGGTGACGTCAGCAGTGATGGGGAGCCTCAGGTTAAGGCCTTTGCCATCAGAAGCCAATTCAGCTCTGACATCCACAATGTGGACATTGCTGATTTTCAATCTGCAAAAACCAGAATTCGCCTTTGTCACTCCTCATGACAGCCATTTGCTGAGCACGGCTCTATGCCAGCATCATGCTGAGCATTTGGGCCTCTTTAACCATGCCTACTTTGGTCTTTACCATACCCCTCTTCAGAGGTTTGATTGTCTCCATTTTATGGCACGGCATACTGAGGATCAGACAGAGGTGATTTCCCCCAAGATTCTGAGGGGGAATAACTGCCGGAGCCATAATTTGAACCCAGAAATGTTTGACTTCAAAACTCCATGTGTAGAGCTCGCAGGTGTGAATTCCAGTTATCTCTCTCCTGAGAAGATTTAAACTTTTATCTCAGCTATATTTGGAGAAGAAAGTCTTATTCCTTGGAAAATGGAATTCAGGCACCAGCAAACAGGTGGACGTGAAAGTGAAGAGAAACTTCACCCTGACCCATGCAATGCCTGTGACCCTGCCTCTAATTTACTCAAGCTCTGGTGGACCTGGCCTTAGACCAACCTCAGCCCTGTGGGGAGAACAAGGTTTGTCACCTTTCTGTCTTTAATCTTAAACTTACCACCTCCCTGCCCCCACCAAAGATATGTATTCCATTTTCTTGGAGCAAAGATCTCCACCATGAAGCAGCAACTCACCCCAAAGACTTGTAGTGAGATGAAAGGACATTAGAAAGGGCATCAGTCACTATTTTTTCAGCTTCCTGGATCTTATGCTTGGCCAGTTGCCAAACTTTGGATTCCTGAAGCACAGCCAAGTCGACATTCAGTTTCCCAAGGATAACTGAAAAAACAATTGGTATTTAGTGTTATGTACCACTTATGAAGCATCTACTATTTGCCAGGTACCAGATAAGACTATTTGCCTATGTTGTTTCATTTAATCTTCATAACAACTCAGTGAGGTAGGTATTGATATTATCTGCATTTTACACATGAAGAAATAAATAATGAAAAGTTTAACAAATGTGCCTAAAGTCACACAGCTATGGAACCCCTGTTCCTTCCACACCAGCTTCATATTAATACATGCTCATTATTCATCAACAAAGTAATAAATCAACTGACCAGGAAATTGATAATGATTATACATCAGATTCTAGTAGTGACTTGGGGAACTATTGCTCTACACGAGATGTCCACACGAGTTTGAAAAACTAAGTCAAACAAAATGGGAGAGTAAACTAAAATACAGAAAATCTAGAATCAAGGAAAAAATATATGGCTGTAACTCATAAAAGTGGGAATCCCAGGATGAAAGCTTTGCAAAAAGCCCAGAGAGCAATAATTTATACAGGAGCAGGAAAACGTAGTGTCTTAAAGGGAGGTCTCTAGAGAAAAGAGGGATTAGATAGAATAAATGACATAGCAGATGTAAAATGATGCATATGAAAATAGTTAATGATATGTGTGTAAAATAATTCAAATGAGAAACAATGAGGCAATTACTAACTCAAGGAAAAACATAAGACTGTACAGGAAAAGATATGTAATCATAGTACTGCAACTTGGCTCTGCAATGGACAATATCTACCTAGTTATAATGATGCAAATAGGGAATGCCAATTAAAATAAAACTATGTCTGGTCCTATAACTCACTAGGTGACCTTGACCTAAACACTTCTGTTTCTGAGCT